ACTCAGGAGGCTGGGGCAGGAGAATTGCCTGAACCCGGGAGGCGGAGGTTGCGGTGAGCCAAGATCGCGCCATTGCACTCCAGCCTGGGTAACAACAGTGAAACTCCGTCTCAAAAAAAAAAAAAAGAAAGAAATACTTAGGCTGAAGTCCAAGACACTACATGCAAATCCATACAAACAGCACCCGAAGACAATGGCAAAGCCAGCGACAGAGACGGCAGCAACTCACTTCTGTTCCTACGTCTTTTCCTCTTCCACGTGACTTAAAAGAGAAGGGCACAAAGCAGTAATCACGAGACTGCTGATGGGCTTACATCTAAGAGGTGGCATCTGTACCACACAAATAGCACCAGGAAGCTGACAGGAAACAAAGCCACGGTTTCTGTACATTATTATTAAGTTCATCTGAACACCTGATTAAGTTGTTACAGTAATACTCAGAGCAGCCCTAAGAAAATTACTTTTTAAAAACCCAGCAGAACAGACAAGGAAATTACAATGTTACAATAGAATTAAATGTCCATTTAACACACACACACAAACGAATACAGGAAGAAAGACCAAAGACAATATAGAAAACAAATTTAGAAATGGCAGATATAAATCCAGCCTTCTCCGTAATCACACTGAATGTAAACGGATTAGACATCCCTCTCAAACAGCAGAGACCAGCAGAATAGATTACAAACATAACCCCACTATATGTTGCCTACAAGAAACACTTTAGATTCAGAGATACAATGAAAATAAAAGAATGAAAAAAGATACGATGCAAACAATAATCAAAAGAGTGGCTCTACTCATATCAGATGAAAGGGACTTTACAACAACCTTTTTTACTAGAGACAGAGAAGCACATGTCGAGATGATAAAGAGTCTGTTCATCAGATGGAAACACGGATGCACTTGACAGAGCTTGGAAATGTGTCAAACAAAAGCTGACACAACTGAAGGGCTCAATACGCCACATTCAACACCAATGTAACTAGACAGAAGATCAGGAAGGGAAGAGAAGACACAAACGCCACCATAAACCAAGGAGACCTAACAGGCATCTACAGAACATGCCACCCCACAGAAGCAGGAGAGAGACTCTTCAGTACTCCGGGACAGAAAATATGGTACACCAATAAAATAACTCTCAGTACATATAAAAGGAGGGAGATCATACAGTGTATGTTCTTTAGCCACAATGGAGTGAAATAAGACATCAGTAACAGGCCAGGTACAGTGGCTCATGCTCTGGGAGGCCAAAGCAGGAGGAGCACTTGAGCCCATGATTTCCACACAGCCTAGGCAACATAGTCAGACCCTGTCTCTACAACAAAATTTTTAAAAATTTAGCCAGGCATGGTGGTGCATGCCTATCATCTCAGCTACTTGGGAGGCTGAGGTGGGAGGTCAGGCTGCAGTGAGCTGTGATCATGGCACTGCACTCCAGCCTGGGAGACAAAGTGAGATCCTGTCTCTCAAAAGCAAAAAAATAAATCAATAACAGAAGGAAATTTCGGAAATTCACAAATATGTGGAAATTAAACAACAAACTCTTAAATAACCAAGAGGTAAAAGATATCACCAGAGAAATCAGAAAATACTTTGAGATTTAAAAAAGACAAAATGCAATATACCAAAACTTAGGGGATGAAATAAATCAGCACTCAGATAAAAATGTATAGCTATATAAATGGAAAGGTTTCTGTATTCTATCTAGACTGAAAGATTTCAAATCAATAAGTCAATTTTCCATCTTAAGAAACAAGAAAAAGAAGAGAAAATGAAACTCAAAGCAATCCAGAGGAAATAATGAAGATCACAGTGGAAATTAACAAAATAAAGAATGGAAAAATCACAGGGAATAATAAAACCAACTGTTTCTTCAAATAGATCAACAAAATTGATAAATCTTTAGCTGGACTGACTAGGGGGAGTGAAAGAGAGAAGAATGACTAAAACCAGAAGACACTCTGAATCGGCTGGGCTCACGTCACAATCCCAGCACTCTGAGAGGTCAGGGTGGGAGGATTACTTCAGGCCAGGAGTTTGAGATCAACCCAGGCAACACGGCAAGATCCCATCTCTACAAAAAAAATTTAAATAAAATAAGGGGTGAGTGTGGTAGCTCATGTCTGTAATCCCAGCACTTTGTGAGGCTGATGGGAAAATTTCTTGAGGCCAGGAGTTCGAGACCAGCCTGGGCAACATGGTGAGACCCCATCTCTACCAAAAATAAGATTTAAAAGAATTGGGCAGACATAGTGACATGCCTCTGTAGTCCTAGCTACTCAGGAAGCTGGGAGGTTAAGGCTACGGTGAGCCATGGTTGCGCCAGTGCACTCCAGCCTGGGTGACAGTGCGAGACTCTGTCTCAAACAAAACAAAACCAAACAAAGACAAGGAAAATTAGCTGGATGTGGTGGTGCATGCCTGTGGTCCTACCTACTGGGGAGGCTGAGGTGGGAGGATCACTTGGGCCCATGAGTCTGAGGTTGGAGTGAGCTATGATTGTACCATTGCACTGCAGCCTGGGCAACGGAGTGAGACCTTGTCAGTTAAAAATAATTTTTTTTTTGGGACGGAGTTTCGCTCTTGTTGCCCAGGCTGGAGTGCAATGGCGCGATCTCGGCTCACCGCAACCTCCGCCTCCTGGGTTCAGGCAATTCTCCTGCCTCAGCCTCCTGAGTAGCTGGGATTACAGGCACGCGCCACCATGCCCAGCTAATTTTTTGTAGTTTCAGTAGAGATGGGGTTTCACTGTGTTGACCAGGATGGTCTCGATCTCTTGACCTCGTGATCCACCCGCCTCGGCCTCCCAAAGTGCTGGGATTACAGGCTTGAGCCACCGCGCCTGGCCAAAAATAATTTTTTAAATGCTATGAACAATTATATGTAAACAGACTGCAACAAATAACCTAGAAAGGGACAAGCTTCTAGAAAGACATAAACTACTGAAACTAACTCAAGAAGGAACAGAAAATCTAAACAGATCTGTAAGTGAAGATACTGAATTAGGAAAAAAAAACAATCCCACAAAGAAAAGTCCAGCCTTCACCGGTAAATTCCACCAAATGTTTAAATAATTAACAACAATCTTTCACAGCTCTTCCAAAAAATAAGAGGGGAGGGAGCACTTTTCACCTCAGTCTCTGAGGTCAGTATTGACGTGGCTCAACCCAGACAAGGACATCACAAGACTACAGACCAACATCCCTCCTCAACACAGACGCAAAATCCTAGCAAAGCAATCCAGCAGCACAGAGAAAGGGCATACACCATGAACAAGCAGAATTTATCCCATTAACACAAGGTCGGTTCAACATATGAGAACAATGTAACATACCACCTCACCAGAATAAAGGACAAGAATCATACTATCATTTCAACAGACGGAGAAAAAGGACAAAATTCAACCCTTTATGACAAAAACACTCAACAAGCTAGGAGCAGAATGTACCTTCTTCAACCTGACAGAGAGCATCACACTCAAGGGTGAAAGACTGAGAGCTTCCCACTGAGATCAGGGGTAAGAAAAGGATGCTTGCTCTCACCACATCTATTCAACACTGTCCTGGAGGTACTAACCAGAGCAATTAGGTCAGAGAAACAAAAGAAATCCAGACCAGAAAGAAAGCTGTTTGCAGATGACATGATTCTGTGTATGGAAAATCTGAGGGAACACAAAACTGATTAGAATAAACAAGTTCAGCAAGGAATGCAGGATACAAGATCAATATACAAAGTCAGTTGTACTTCTACATATTAGCAATGACCAGTCCCAAGATGGAATCCAGAGAAAAAATAAACTTACAATTGCTTTTATAAATGCAATTTATAATCCTTTAATAATTTATAATTGCATTTATAATCCTTTTGGTTACAAACCAAAAAGAATAAAACACTTATGAGTAAATTTAACAAAATAAGTGTAAGACTTATATACTGAAAACAAAATACTGTTGAAATCAACTTTAAAAGACCCAAGTAAATGCAAAGATAGTCAGAAGCTCATGACTCAAAAGATTTAACATTAAGATGCAATACATCCCAAAGCAATCTCCAGATTTAATGCAGTTCCTATCAAAATCTCAGCTGCTTTTTTTTTTTTTTTTTTTTAAGAAACTGATGAGCAGACCCTAAAATTCATTTGGAAATGCATGGTATGCAGAGTAGTCAATCAACCTTGAAACAGAACAAAGGAAAACTGACCGATGCACTGTGGTGCTGGCGTAAGGCTAAACAGGTCAATGGGATAAAGTGCCCAGAAATAAACCTGTATCTTTTCGGTCAAGTGATTATCAATAAGGGTGCCAAGATAATTCAATAGGGAAAAATAATGTTTCCAACGAACGGTGCATGTGGGATATCCACATGCAGAAGAATACGGGCTCTTACACCACACACAAAGCCTAATTCACAGCGGGCCAAGATCGACACCTAAGAGCTGAAATTATACATGCTTCTTAGAAGCCAGGTGCAAATCTCTGATTCCGGATTGGGCAATGGCTGCCAAGATGTGACAGTAAAAACACAAGCAACAAAAGAGAAAAAACAGATTAAACTGCTGGACTTCATCAAAATTAACTTTTGTGCTTCAGTGGACACTATCCAGAAAGTAAAATGACAGTATGGAAGAAAGTTTGTGCGAGTCACATGAGGATCTAGTATTCACGATATACAGAACTCGTGGCCAGGGGCGGTGGCTCATGCCTGCAATCCCAACCATTTGGGAGACTGAAGCAGGAGGATCGCTTGAGGCTAGGAGTTTGAGACCACACTGGGCAACACAGTGAGACCTCCTCTCTACAAAAAATTTAAAAAATTAGACAAGTGTTGTGGCGTGTGCCTGTAGTCGCAGCTACTTGGGAGGCTGATGAGGGAGGATGGCTTGAGCCCAGGAGTCTGTGGTTGCAGTGAGCTATGACTGCACCACTGCACTCAGCCTGGGTAAGGGTGAAAGCCCATCTCTAAAAGAAAAAAAAAAAAAAAGCTGCTACAACTCAAGACAGACAATTCAATTACAAATAGGAAAAAGATTTGAATAGGCTCCTCTCCAAAGAAGACATACGAGTGGCCAGGAGGCACGTGAGAACATGCTCGGTATCAGTCTTTAGCACACAAAAGACCACACGTTGTATGAAAAGGCACAACCAGAAACAGAAGCAGGTGAGTGAATGGTTTCCTAGCCTTGGTGTTTGCGTTAAAAACAGCATTTGCACAGAAGTGGGCTTCCTCAGAGCTCCTCTGACCGGTGGCCTCCTGGCTGGGCATGCGGGCTCTGAAGGCACAGCTGCGCGCACTTTCTGCCCCACCACAGGCACTGGCCCCACAAGAACTCTCGGGCGCCCTCTGGGAACAGGCTCACTGCCCAGGTTCACATCTCCAGGCTCAAGGGCCTCTTCTGCAAGGCCAGACCCGTCAGCAGATGGTGCTGGACCCCACAGCAGCAGAGAGCCCCACCTTCAGGGCATTTTAATACGACTTCTTTACATCAAACACAGTAATAGACATAGCATGGTCACTGCCCAGACCCATGCCCACTCTGGTGTCCTAAGGCACTGGCAGAGGGAGAAGAGGTGCTGAGGGTGCCCTGGGCCCAGCTCTCTAATTCAGTGCATAGTTGAACTGGTTTGAAAACTTCTCGTGCTTCTTCTGGTCCATCCGGTTCATGGCTGCAACTACCCTCCGGACAGCTGCCCTGTGGGAAAAAGAGGTAACACGTGACCTGGGAGGTTCCCCCAGGGGCCTGGGCTCCCAGTAGGGGAGTCACCAGGGTTAAGCACTGGTCCTGGGGCGGCAACTGCCCTCAGACACTGACAGACTTCCTGCAGCTGCCACCTTCAGAGACAGATGGTCACTGGTCCCTTGGCCTGTCCCAAGACAGACAGGCTTGGAAAGGGCCACCCCAGGTCCCAGTGCTGGGGTCTGAGGTGGGTGGTTCTGCATGGTGAAGGTGGCCCCACCCCACCTTGGCACTTCTCCCGTGGCCTCCCATACTCCAGGATGAGGGCCCCCTTGGCCTCCCAGGGAACGGCACTGCAGGAGATGCAGCCAGGAGGTGTCAGGGCAGCCCTGCCCGCTGCTGCACACATGGGTTGGAAACGCGGGGCCATGGCTGCGACGGGGAAGGCGCGGGACAAGGTGTGTTGTGTGGGCAGCTCAGGTGCTGTGGCGCACAAGGGTCTGGAACCAGCAGGGCCTGAGGCCACAATGTGGCGATGCTGCCACTCAACTGCAGCCCCTGTGGGACTGCCAGGAACTGCTATGGGGCCCCTCAAGGCAGGGTTCACCCTGCGGTCACCCCGGGTACTTTCTGCAGGGAGGGCTTTGGGCTACACAGCTACTGTGAAAAGCAAGCTCCTGCCATGGGCTTTGCTGTCCCCATGAGTCATGAGGAGCCCAGCACAGGACCCTTGGCTACTCTTCCTCCTGGGCGTCAGCACACAGGCTTGCCTCTGCCCCTGCTGAGCCACAGGAAAACAAGCCTCACCCTGAGCTACCAGGGGCCAAGCACCCTGGATGGCTGGCAGACATGATGGGTCCAGCCCTGTGCCAGGGGCCCCAGTCAGCCTCTCTGCAGCCCACACCAGCACCACTGCCCCACCCAAGCAAGACTGTGGATGCACTGCCCACCAGCCCAGGGGAAGCTGTCTGGGTGTGGTGAAGGCACCTTCCCACCCTCCCGAGCCCACTCAGGAGGGTGCACGGTCATGCTGGCCAGGACGCGCCTCTTCTGCTCCCTGCACTTAGCACCTTCCACGTGTGTCCAAGAGTGGTCTCTGGGACGGCGACGGGTGGGGGCCACTATATTGGCACTTCCAGACAAACCTGCGCCAGCAGGGACTTGGCACAGCTTCGGGAGGGGCTCAACAGTCTCAGGTGCTTCTAAACAAGCACTCTCAATTTTCTCCGGGAAAGCAAGGCAATGAGAAGAGAGAAACACAGTGCCCTGCAAGTGGCTGGTGCCTCAGGTGACAGGCCGCACGCAGGGGCGCCAGGCTGTGCCCCAGGAGACAGGTCGCACACGGGGGCGCCGGGCTGGGGGACTTCGCACTCTGGCCCTGCCAAGGCCTCACCAGGCTGCAGAGACACCAGGCCAGCCTCCCAGAGTCAGTGCTCAGAGCCGCCACACCGGGGTGGGCTCTGCTGGGGCTGATGCATAGACCTCCGTTCTGCCAGTCTTTGCAGTCACTGCCCTCCCCGAAGTCACCACTGCAGAAATATGCAGGCGCTGACCTGGGGCACAGCCAGGCAAGGGCGAGATCAGGGGCTCACTCTGCACCAGCAGAAGCCTGGGTCCTGGCACGGCTTCCCCAGGAATCGAGGATGGTGGTGCCTGGTGGTCAAGCCCCTCTTATCCCGGGGAGCACTCAGGAGCATTCCTGACCAGACCCGGCCTGCTGCACCTGCTGGCTGGCACTGCCCCTCCCTGGGGAAAGGCCGGGTGGTCACCCAGGGGAACGCACAGCAGGGGAGCTCCTGGAGGCCCCAGGTTCCTGGAATATCCTGGAACTCAGATGGTCCCCCTCGAATACCCTCACTCTGGGGACCGCGTGGTGGGAGGCGACCCAGTAGCCACTCTTACTTGGCGAAGACCTTTCTCCCGATGCGAGCGCGGGCAGTGTCAGCCTGGGCCTTCAGGTTGGTCAGGTGGGGGTACCTCTTCTTCTTCCCCCGGCCTTGCCCGCTGTACCTGGACGAGCCGAGATCCTGCCCCGTGGCTGCCTCCACGTCTCTCATCAGCTCAGGGTCCTGCCATTCTGCAAACAAAGCCCAAGAACTTCAGGAAATGCCTAGCACCAGCCAGAGTCTTGAGGCACCCAGGAGGGCTCTTGGTCTCGTTCTGATGGGGGGCCAGGCCAGCTTGCCCATGCCCATACCCTGGCACCAGTGGGCCCGAGAGGATGCTCTGTGCTGGCAACTCGCATTCCCTAAGCAGCAGGCTGAGGAGGGCAGGCACGCAGGCCACCGTGCGGTGAAGGTGGCACAGAGCTAGTTCCCACCGCCCTGCACCCCCACAGGCCCCTGCAGCCTACAGAGGTGGGAGCTGGGCCTGGGCCCAGAGGCCACTCCTAGGGCCATGGACCCATGGACCTCCAAGGCTGGAAGGCACCCAAGGCCAGCAGTCGGCAGGTTGGCGCCATACGAAAGCTCCTTCCCTGCCTGCAGGCTGGACTGCGCGCCGCTGGGCCAACTGTGGCCCTGCTGGACACGCCTGCTGCTGGGGAGGTGCATGCGGCAGAGCTGGGCCGAGCATGACGGTCGGCAAAGAGCTTTTCTTTCCAGTTGGTCTCAAGATGACCTGGCCGCGGGCCTCGAAATGCCTAGTGGGTTCTCCTAGATGGAACTGCCCTTCCCAAGCAAGCCAGGCACTGTCTGCTTGAGGCCCTGTGGCAGTGAGGGGACACAAATGTCCCCAGCCCACTGAGCAGCCTTGCAGGCTGAGAGCACCCACCGCATAGTGGCACCAAGGCCCTCGAGGTTCGGAGGCCCAGGCTTCCTGTGGGGTTCCTCATACAAGGCAGTGGTGGGCATCCACCAGGTGTCGTGCTGGTCGGGCTCAGGAAGGCCACCCCTGACAGGATCATGATGGCAGAGGGACTTACAGACAACCCTGGCTCACAGAAAGGGGGCTAGGCACCGATGGTCTGAGGCACCCGCTCCTGCAGACAGGACCCCACGAGCTGGGCCAGTGGGGCCAGGCCACAGGGGCACATCCCCAGAGGGATGCCTGTGCCTCAGATGGATGGCCTGGCCTCCCCAAGCGGATTCTTTGAAGTGAAGGAATACAGGGCCCACAATTCAGATACAGGAACGATTAATCCAAGATTAAGGAAAACTGTCCAAACAGTTTATCTCCCAGTAATAAGAAAGCGTCACAGTTTAGGAACCCAGTGAATGGAGCAATTGTTTAAACACAACGAAAAAGCGCCGGCACCCAGTAGAGATGGAGCGAGCGTCTCAGTGAAATGAAGGAGCAATTTAAAAGCCTTTGAGGAAAATCAATAGATGCTGGGGCCGCACGGCCTTCCTGGGCGCTGACGGGCCTGCAGCACCACGCACATTGTCACTGAGGTTAGCGCCAGGGAAAGGAAAATTGCCCCGTGCGCAAGGGAGGCGGGGATCAATACTGTAGTTAGTAAAGAGATGCTATTTCACATCTGACTGGCCAGCGCCGGCCGCAGCCCACGGCCTGATACCTGTTTGTTAACAAGTCACCAAGGGCTGGAAAACCAGATACTCTTCAGGGTTGACACAAAAAATAGGCACTTAATTTGCTCCTGAGTGTGGGCCACCAGGGAAGGCCTGGCCTGGAGATTAGCAGGTCAGGCCCCTCCCCAGCGCCCAGGCCAAGCCGCTGCCTCTGGGCGTCAGGCTGCATTCAACACCTGCCTCTCATGACCGGAGAGCAAGATGCCAGGAGCCATGGCAGAGACAGCCTGGAAGGGACGCTGGGCCCCAGCACTGCTCTTCAAGACAAGGTGTGACCCCCGCTTTGGGCCAGGTCCAGGCCTCAGGCGCTGTCACTCCAAAAAGGAGCGAGGCTGTGTAGCAGGGGGGGCTCACACCTGTACTCCCAGCATTGTGGGAGGCTGAGGCAGGAGAATCGCCCAAGACCAAGAGTTCAAGACCAGCCTGGGCAATACGGCACCATCCCCCCTCTACTAAAATAAAAATACAAAAATGAAGCATGGTGGCATGTAATTCCAGCTACTCAGGAAGCTGAGGCAGGAGGATTGCTCAAACCTGGGAGGCCATAATTGCGCCACTGCACTCCAGCCTGGATGAATAGAGAGACCCTGCCTCCAAAAAAATTAAAAATAAGATTTAAGAGTTAAAATAAGATTTAAAAAGTAAGAGAGAGGGAGCCCAAAGCTGCCAGGACCTCCAAAAACCAACCTTCCCTGGAAAGCAGATACGCACCTCTGCCAGGGTGAGGCAGGGCGGGCGCATGGGCCCCGCTGTTGGGGCAGTGCTGCTCCACAGTGGGCTTGCTGTCCAGGGCCTCTGGCACCTGCACTCCTGACACCACAGCAGGTGCCTAGACAGTGGCCACATGCCTTCTGGACAGAGCTGTGGCAACCTGCACACCGAGGCAGGTGCAGGGCACTGCGGAGGCCAGAGGGCTTCCTGGAAGGCACTCTGGGCTCAGTGTGATCACTTCTCTCGCCTCGAGGCCTTCACCTGCCTGAAAACACGACGAGGAAGCAGAACCCAGCCACATAGACGGCACCTGTGGCTTCGGGGCCCTGGGTGCCCACCTGCTGGTCGGGGTCTCATGAACATGTGGCTCCCCCTTAAGCTGGAGCATCCCCTAGAACCCCCAAACCCAGGACGCTTGGTCAGCTCCCCTCCGGATTCTACCAACTAGGACTGAGGGTTGTGTAAGCACCGCAGACCACGCTGGCAGAGCAGGTGCTCCGTGACTCCGCAGACACAACCCGGGCAGCCGGAGGCAGTGCCTCCCGTGGCGCCCGCCCCGCCCACCTGCCCAGACATACCCGGGCGCTCCTGCTTTTGCCGCTGCTGCTGCTGCTCCCGGGCCCTCTCCTCCGGGTCGAGTGGCTGTCCCTCGTCGTCCCTTGGAATGATCTTCCCATGGAAAGGGCACTGCAGAGCAAGGACACAGTGGCTGTGAGCAGAAAGGGGAGGAGGGGGTTCCGCTCGCCTTGACCACTGCCCCCTTCAAGCACAAACAGCTACCAGGGAGGGTGGCCTCTTAGGGCCAAAGTGTGCATAACACCGGAATCGCACACCCCTCAGGGGAGGGCGTCCTGAGCACCGCAGGGACAGGGAGATGGCTCTGTCCTCCCTCACACCAGCCTGGCCATAGTGACTACCTCCCTGCACCATGCCCAGTTGCCAGGCTGGAAACTGCTCTGGCCCCCCGGCCTCTCCTCACTTCTGAGGAGCCCAGCCCTGCACAGCAACCATGGAGGACACCGTGCGTCTTGGCCCCTGGAGAGTTCGCCAAGCCACATGCCCAGCTGTTGGGCTACAGGGTCCTGGTCAGAAGCCTCTGGACACCGTCTTCTGACAGCCACAACGAAGCAGTTTCTGCCCACCATGGACCAGCCCCTTCCATGGGATTCCCAGTACTCACAAGCATCCTGACCCAGGGCCGGGGCAGGTGGGGCTCGGCACCCCTCTGGCTGCCCACCCTGGTTCCCCCAGACCCCCCCCACTCCGCCCTCAGGCCCTGGTCTCACCTTCAGCCGGTCTTGGCGCTCACAGAGCCGACCGTCTGGCCTCAGGGCGCGGCACCGGTGCTGCACTGGCTTGAACGTCCCCGCAAAAGTGATGTGGCGGCTGTGGAGCATCTCGGAGACGTCGGCGTTGACCACTTCCTCCTCCACCTCGCTGGGCTTCCAGAAGCGGTGCTGGGAGTCAGACCTGCAGAGAGAGCCAGAGATCCTCACCGCATCTGCAGGGACCCCAGAAGAGCGTGGCTGGGGTGGTGTAGGCGTGGGGGATGGCCAAACACCACTGCAGCCCAGCCACCCCAATGCTTCGGAGAGCACCACCCGGAAGCAGAACAGTCACTCCCACGTGGGTCTGAATTCTGACTTTGCATGAACCAGCCTCAATCCATGGGGGCAACTGCCACCTGCTGGAGGGGCTCTCCCTGTAGCCCAAGGGTGGCGGTCACTGGGCCCTGAGGCATGAGCTTGAGGGCTGACAGGACGTCCACGTGAAGGTTGTCCTTCCACCACAGGGGCGTGAAGACAGGGCGGCAGCGCACCCAGGAGAAGGAGCACAGACTACTCAGCCCTTGGCAGCACAGAGGGCCGGACGCTGGGGACTGGACTCCACTGTCCCGGGTTTCCCAGGCCTCCCAGGTGTGTCCAGGCCCATGCTCTGCTGTTGTCATCAGCCTGTTTGAAGACGCTTTCCTGCGATGCCACAGAATGGGGAGCTGGGCGTGCTGGCAGTAGAGGACTCCACTCCCGCCCATCTGGATGCCTAGGCAGGGGAGAAGTGACTGAGGGGCCCTCACACAGACCCAGGTGCCCCTGTGCCACCACCAGGCCTCCTTCCAGGGTACACAGCCACGCTTGGGGCCAGCAGGAACTGGGGAGGACAGATGGGCAGTGCCAAGGGCTCCCAGTGATGAGACTGCCCGCTGCCTCCTGACAAGGTGACGGCTGGCTCTGCCCATGGCTCCCAGGTTCCCACGCTCTATGCCCAAGGGTGCTGGAGGAACAGAGCCCAGTATCCCCGCCCTTGCCCTGGGCCGGCAGACAGCAGCACAGCCCAAGGCACAGCCCATGCTAGGGAGAAGGAGGCTCTGCTCCGGGGCCACTGGACCTCACTTCTGCCTCCACCTTGGTCTGGGGTGAGGCTGGGTTGGGATAAGGGGGTCTCACGCTTGCAGGGCCTTCAGGCAGTTAGCGGGTGGGAATGCAGGCACAACGTGCCACCCAGGGCCTTGGCCCCACTACAGGGAGAGGCATCTTGGGCAGAGCCCCAGCAGGATGAGAAGCACCTGGCCATGTGCCCCATAGTCAAGGATACATGTGGCTCCCGAAGGGTGACTGACCACCGGGCCAAACGCCCCCTGCCGCACCAGGAGACGCCCTGTATGAGAAGCAGTGACGAGTTCCGCCACCCAGAACTCCGACAGGACGAAACGCCCTGTGGGTCGCAGAGGGGACACTTAGGAGCCAGCACACCACAGGCTCCACCGCTTCCTACCTATCCAGGAGCAGGAATACTCCCCTCTGCACGCCTTCGCCAAGGCCCAGCAGCTTTTTTTTTTTTTTTTTTTTCCTGAGACGGAGTTTCACTCTTTTTGCCCAGGCTGGAGTGCAGTGGCGTGATCTTGGCTCACTGCAACCTTGGCCTTCCAAGTTCAAGCAATTCTCCTGCCTCAGCCTCATGAGTAGCTGGGATTACAGCAATGTGACACTACGCCTGGCTAATTTTGTATTTTTAGTAGAGACAGGGTTTCTCCACATTGGTCAGGCTGGTCTCAAACTCCCGACTTCAGGTGATCTGCCCACTTCAGTCTCCCAAAGTGCTAGGATTAAAAGTGTGAGCCACTGCATCTGGCCCACCCTTCTTTTTTTTTTGAGACAGTACTTTGTTCTGTCACTCAGGCTGGAGTGCAATGGCTCGATCTTAGCTCACTGCAACCTCCACCTCCCAGGTTCAAGTGATTCTTCTGCCTCAGCCTCCCGAGTACATGCACACACCACCCCGCCCAGCTAATTTTTGTATTTTTAGTAGAGACGGGGTTTTGGCCACGTCGGCCAGGCTTATCTCAAAACTCGTGGCCTCAGGTGACCCGCCCGCCTCGGCCTCCCACGGTGCTGGGATTCCAGGCCTAAGTATCACACCCAGCCGGGACCGCGGCCTCCTGTGTACCAGGCCTCGAAGGGAGGGGTCTTTCCACAGGCTGTGGGGAAAGAGCTGTTTCCAGGGCCTGGGGGTGCCAGTCCCGTCAGCCCGGCCTCCCGCCAGAGATTGGCTCAGCCCTGGCCTCCCAGAGCTGCACTGTCTTACCCCTGAATGAAAGGGATAAGCCCAGGCTTTCTGACGTCCCCAGATGGAGCTGAGAGCTGAAGGGCAGGACCCCTCCTCTTGGTGATGGAATATGGTGTGAGCAGCCCCTGCCATCCTGGCTAGGGGCCAGCCAGGAGTGTGGCCCTCAATTGGCTGTGAGCACACGCGACACCCAGGTGTCAGGTGGTGTCTCCTGCACCAGCCACACACCCCCACCCACGCAGCTGACATGGGCCCTTCCCCAGCCTGGGCCATTCCCATGTGCAGGCCACCATCAAGCTGGCCCCGCACAGGTCTGTAGGCAGGTGGGGGAAACGTGAAACCGTGACCTCGCAGCACCAGGTGGGTGGTGTTGACAGGCCATGCAGGCGCAGCGCGAAGCCAGGCCTGCCCAGCAGGGTCCTGGTGCAATCCAGGACTAACCGGGTCCTCACCCGGAAGCTGTTCAGGTTTCTCACCTGGCGCAACTGCCCAGGGGCTCAGGGCAAAGTCCAGGGTACTGGGGCCAGGCCAGGCAGGCATAAGAGGGGCGTCTGCTTCTAGGTGGAAGCTTTGCCAGGCATCACCTGCCAGGCTCAGAAACCAAGTGCTGGCCTTGGGGCATCCCTGGTGGCAAAGTGTGGCAGGGACGGCTGTTACTTCCTACTTGCCCAGCCCCTCCCTCCCTGCACTGCCACAATCTGGCCCCCACTATGGGCAGCGTCTCTGCAGCCCCGAGGACAGGGCCCTGAGATCTTAGTCCTGAGGAATGAGGCCAGAGTCTGCCTCTCTTACTGTCCTGCCCGCGTGAGCGAGCCCAGCAGAAACCAGGGAACAAGCAGTGGTGGACGACGCACCAGGACAGACAGGTACTTGGGGCCCATTGCTGGGTGTCCAGGAAGAGGCGGTGGCTGCCCTGGACACACAGGGCTCCTCAGGCTGCCCGAGGACCCTTGCATGCTCCCTGTCCCTGCCCCCACTCTCTCCAGAGATTCTGAGGTCGGTGCCTCACAAAGATGAGATGTTCCCACATCACGGTGCGCTTCCCAGCCCTGCAGACCCCACAGCATTAGCTTGTGTGTTTATGGTGTTTGCACAGGGAGCCCAGCCCTTCAAGCTGAGCCATCACAGGTGCTGTGGGGACAGCAATATTCCCTGCATCAAAAGCCAGCCTCTGCCTATGTCACACTGGCCCTGGGTCTTGATGGCAAGGACTGGTGAGAGGCTAGGGTACCCACCACTTCTGTCCCCTAAGGGACATGGGCTCACCTGGGGGGGTGCAGGAGCAGGCTCACCTCCCGTGTGTAGAACTGTCCTGGGGTGGGAGCTGAGGAGGCAGCAGGGGCCCTGCTCCCCCGATAGCCATGCCAGTGAGGTCTGGCAGGGGCTGGAGTACTCAGGTGGCCCTTGAGGCCCAGCAGCCCAGACTTAAGCAGATGATTCCTGTGTACCCCCTTCTGCTGCAGCTCCCCAGAGAAGAGGCCAGTGCGGTGGGGGGTGCCGAGGGGGAAGCGGGCAAGGAGGGCAGCTTCCTGAGGCTCCTTGCAGCACCCCCACCTGAGGTGTGGGCACAGAGTCACCGCAAGCAGCCCTGGTGTGGCAGGAAGCCCCAGCGACGGCAGCTGTGCGGTGGTGAAGTGGGACACACAGCGCAGGCCCTGGGGCCGCCTTTAGGGGAGTGGCTTCTCATCCGGCTGTTCCTGCAGGATAACACCCAAGCTCCAGGGATGCCCCGACACAGCAGCAGAAAGGCTCAGAAAAGCCCTGCTGGGCTCCACAAGCCAGCTCAGCAGGGGAGGCCTACCCATGTCCCTCTAGGCACCCGGAAGGTAGGCAGAGCTGGACAGTGGGGACAGCTTCCTCTAAACCAGGGAGACCTGGCAAGCTGGCAGCACCCTCCCCAGGCAGGGGCCCTGGCTGTGTGCCCTGGTCAACTTCAGACGCCCGGGGACTCACTTGAGGATCTTCCCAGCTGTGGGCAGCTCCTGGCCCCAGTAGTGCAGGTCCACGCCGTAGGGCACCACAGGCGCCCGGGCCCGCTCTGCCGCCAGCTTCTGGGCCTCCTCTGGCTCCAGCAACACTCCGGAGAGGCTACAGGAGCAGACAGGACGTGCTGACTACACGTGTGCTGCAGCCACCCACCTCTGCCTCCCCACCCCCACAGCACGGCTGGGGCCTCGGGTTTGCTCACATGAGCAGTGGCTTCCGCCCGCACAGGGCCTGGGCTTCAGAGCCACTACGGAGGTCCTGTGAGAAGCTGTGGGCCCTAGCCAACTGTGGGCCTCTGGTCTGCAGTCCTTCACCCTGGTACAGGGGTGAGCTGACATCTGCCTCTCAAACCCCAGCCCTGGGGACATCTCTCAGAGGCACGAGCAGTGCCTGGAAGGGGAAGGGTATCTGTTGGCTCAGCCCCACCCAGGCTCCAGCTGATGCTGGCACTGACAAGCCCAAACACGGCACCAGTACTGCTCGCCCAGTCAGGGTGCAGACTCCAGGCTTCCGCCAAGACAGCCAGAGAAGGCCCTTAGCAGCCTATTGAGGCCAGCCAGTGCTCTGGACAGGAGTTGTGGCAGTGCCGGGCAGGGGGCTCAGCACATAGGACATTGGGAGTCACCTGGCAGACGAGGGTCGGGGCAAGTGGTCCTGGAGCCGCCGCAACTGAGCAGCCGCAGAGGTGGGGTCCGACGCCTCCTCGTCCCTCCTCAACCTCATCCGCAAGCCCCGTGCAGCCGGGTCCTTCTCGGGCGTCACCTCCAGCCCTGAAACAAACATGTGTCAACTCCTGCCACCACCCCCACAACTCGCTAGGCACATCCCGCCAGACTGAGCAGAGAGGACGCACCTACACGTCAGCACGCTCGCTCCATCTTCCCATGGTCCTGAACTGGGACCCGCTATCTGACCTCATGGGCAAGGGTGAGGCACAGAGCAGCTCAGGCCACGCTCTGCAGAACACAGCCAGTGGCAAGGGCTCTGGCAGTCCCGGCTAGAGGCCACACTGTTTACACACTGTGCTGCCTGGCTTTGCAGAAGTGCCAGCCTGAGAAAACGGATTCACCAGGCTGTCCAGGAGCTGGGCAGCAGTCAGAGCCCAGGCTGCCCTGCACCCTGTGCCCACAGCCCCAGCAGCTCAGGCTCTGGTGGTGAAATGCAGGCAGCCTGCAGGCCTCCCCAGTCCCCAGGCCCGAGGTGGCAGCCACTTGGTCCTCAAGGAGGAAGAGGCGTGCACCTCCAGACAGGGTTCCAACCCACACCTGGCACCGAGGTAAAATCTAAGATTAGCGGGGATTCCAGCCTGTGTCCCCGAAGAAATGTCTGGGGCTGCGCCACAGCTTCAGCAGGTGCCTATGAGAACCACGGGGGCCGCTGGACCATGGCCCTGGCCCTGGCAACTCCCTCCCACCGGCTGCCAAGCAGAGGCTGAGCTCCAACAAGCACAATGCTGTCCAGAGTGCCCCCTGCAGACGGCCCACCCTGCCACTAGCAAGACAAGGCTATAGCCGCATCTCCACCCCCACAGAGATGACAGGGACAAGGCCACCAGCCTCCGCAGCCCAGCATGCACCCAGAGTCCCCGAGGTGGACAAGGAGATTCTCCAACACTGCTGGGCCCTGACCTGCTTCTCGCCTCCTCCTGTGCCATGGCCTGGACTTGGTTCTCAGGCTGCCCCGTGGGGCTCACCCTGACCGTGATGGCACTGTTCGGTCAGGGCAGGTGCCTGTACTCCCCAGAGGCTGTCTAAGCTGGTGTCCCGGGGCATCGAGATGGCAGAGGGCACAGGAGGTGCCAGGCAGCCTATGGATGAGGACAAAGGGCATCACCCACCTCCCCAAACCTGCTGCAGGAGCAACTACCACCTTACTTGAGCCCTTCCTCCCGTGGGCCTGCCGGTAAGAAAGGGCTCAAGACCCGAGAGGAACCTGGACCGTAGGGAAGCCAGGCTTCTGAAGACAGAAAATGGCCGAGCGAGGCGTCCTGGCTGTGGCGGAATCCACAGGCAGCCCGGGTGAGGAGGCTCGCAGCCCATGCCACACTCCCCAGGAACTACGGACACTGCAGAGACAGAGCGAGAGGCCAGGAAATGGGAAGGGACCCTGAAGACACCTCTACCAAAGACAAAGGGCAAGAAAAAGTAGCAGGTGCAGAGGACTTGCTGGATGGGAGTGAGATGCAGCTGGCAGCGGACAGCTTGAGGGAGGGAGCACAGAGGACTCTGTCCAGAGCTCTGAGGGCTGAGGGGGCACGCACGTTATCAGCATCCTCATCTCTCCTCAAACTCCAGCAGGAGAGAAACAATTGGAGTGCAGAAAACAGCTGAGAAACAATGAGCCACATTTTTCTGGAATTAGAAGGCTCACTCAGAGTCAACGGAGAGAGAGCAAAAACACATTGTTAAAACCCAGAGGTCAGCTTGATTTGGATACAAAGTGTCAATCCTGAGTGAAGGTGTTGCTTGGAGACGATACAGGAAAACCTAAGCACATTACAGCCCAGGAACTGCAACTTGACTGGACTGAAGCTGTATCAGGGAGGGTCCTGCCAAAGGAGATTAGCATTTGAGTCAGTGGGCTGGTGAAGGCAGATCACCCTTAATTGGGTGGGCATCATCTAGTCAGCTGCAGCAAATGTAAAGCAGCAGAAAAACGTGAAGAGACAGGCCTCGCCTCCCAGCCCACGTCTTTCTCATACTCCCAGTGCTTCAGTTTTGACACTCTGACTGGTTCTCCTTTTTCCTTAGCTTACAGACGGTCTACGGTGGGGCCTTGTGGTCGTGTAACTCAGCTGATACTTTCAAAGAAATAAAAATTCTATTGACACCAGCATTTTCAACAGCAACCATGAATGCAAGATCTTAGACGGTCACTTTGGAAGTGCTGAAGGAGAAGTTTCAAGCTCAGAGTTTTATAGTCCACTAAACGATCATTTCTTGTGCAGGTGGAGGACGATGACCTCGTGGAGACAAGTCCTTTTGAGGTTTGCCACATCGAGATCTGCTTTGAAAACACCTTTAGACCCAGGAATCAGAAAGAAAAGGAAGTGCAGGGAGGTGGAGCAAGACGTGGGCAGTGAGCACTGAGACTCCGCCAGAGGCGAGGTGGGAGGCCATGAGTGTCCTGAGACGCGGGAGGTGAGTGCAGAGTTGAGTTGTGGGAGGTGAGACAAAGACGCAGGAAGTGAGACCTGGGAGGTGAGCGCCTGGAAACGCGAGATGTGGGAGGTGAGTGTGAGTGCAGAGACGCGGGAGGTGAGCGCAGAGACGCGGGAGGTGAGCGCAGAGACGCGGGAGGTGAGTGCAGGGAGGTGAGTGCAGACGCAGGAGGTAAGCGCAGAGACGCGGGAGGTGAGCGCAGAGACGCGGGAGGTGAGCGCAG